AAATGTTATTCTGATTTTCATGTATTTCTGTTGTACGATATATTATATTTTAATCAATCACATTTTCATAAAACGCATTTAACTTGTTGTCATCCAATAATTCGTCGGGATATGCAATGTGACTGGTCATCGAATTCGCCTTGTCTATCGCGTGTTTCCTGTAATAGACAGACTTGGGTAAAATACATTTTAAAAGTATTTCAAATACATATTCCGAATACTTTTAAAAAAAGTATTCAGAATATGTATTCGAATACTTTGTGATAATAATATTCCTAAGTATTTGGAATACTTTTTGTAAAGTATTCCAAATATTTTTCGAATACTTTTTTTCAGTAGATTTAGATTTCAATAGCAAAAATATTATTTTTTCAACTTTATACTTTTAAACCGTTTATTTCAACAACATATTTATTATTTTATAAACTGAAAAAAAAAAAATAATCAACATTATAGTATTATAGTAACATAACTATTAATTACACAACATTACAACTGTTATATTATTATAAAATAATAATAATATACATATACATATTTCTACCAAATATTTTGTATAGAAATAATATACAAAAGCAATTTCTATGACGGAAAATTAATGAAATTGTTTTTAAAATTTGATTAGAAAAAATGTATTCCGAATACTGTGGAATACTTTCAAAAAAAAGTAGGTACTTAAAAAGTATTCGGAATACTACCCAAGTCTGGTAATAGAAAAATCTAAAATAATTATGACATCACAATTGTTTCTACTGTTGAAAGGGATAATATGTTATAAATTTAGAACGTGGATTTTTAAAAAGTATCAAAATATGAAGTCAAAATTGTGTAAATATGCAAGACAAAACAGCCTTAAATTGGGAAAATTGGGTAATAAGACAAATAAATGCACAATGTTTTATTGGTAATAAAAATAATAAATTCATAATTTAATAAGGCATTGAAATAATTTAAAACAAATTAAACAAAACTTATTAAGTTCCTAATTAATGAATTTACTTTTGTTTCAAATACTATTTTGTGCCAACAAATGTTCTTTCGAATTTTCTACTTGACGAAATATTTTTTGTTTTAATTTTTACTTCAATATGTAATAAATTATAAAAAAATATTAAACAATGAAAAATACGCAATCATCATTAAATGTGTAGTTATATATAAAGAAAAATTGCCATAAGCTTTAGACTATTATGATTCGTAAAGATGGCTGAAGAAAATCCAAAAATGGGAAAAGGAAAAAATATACAATTACTTAAAAATCTATACTATATACTAATATATGAACCGGAAAGTGAACTTTCACCTTGTTTTGTCATCCATCCAATCGTTTGTTGACAATATTTTGAACATTTCCTCCCGGATACCGTTCACCATTTCTAAAGCTTCCTTTTTGGCTTTTTCGTCGAAAAAATGTCTAACGTACAACGACCCAATGGCCAATGAAAATCTTTCAGAACTGATACCCACACATTCCTTCCATCTGGGCTCTCGTTCAGTCTTGCCGCTTTGCTCAGAGTGAAACTCCAACTCTCTTTTTCTTAATTCTTCAGTCAAAAAACCAACGCACTGCGTGACCAATCTCCAAATTAAGTAATTTGCTATGATTCTGACGACATAATTATCAAATTAGAGAGGGTGTCCCATAGGCGTATATCATAACTTTTTGTTTAATATGAAATCACGAAAATTTTATAAAAAATTAATTTAAACGTTGAAGCAGATTGGTTGTTTGTTACTGCTTTTAATAAATTTGAAATCGAATGAGGATATTAATAGTCGGGAGAAAATTATACATTATTATTTGTATTGTTTAAGGTACAAATATTGATTTATATTTAATACTTTTTTCTGCTGTTACTTTTTGTGTAGTTCTATCTATAATGTTATGTAGTTAATCTAAATTTTGTYAGTGATTCAGAACATGTTGAATGTTATAATAATATTATGTTACAGCAATGTTTACATTGCCCCGTAAATTTAGTCTTGCCCAGGTGATCAAAATAAGTAATAAAAATTAAAACAAACATTTGGTTGTTAACCACCGTCATTATTATGGTTAATACAGGTTCACTGTTCAGTAATTCAGAAAACATTTTTTTTTCAGTTATTTTTAATTTCCTAAAAAAAATACTAACAACATTTTTACCCGTACTGCAAATAATATAATATGTTAATTGTATTATATTGTATAAAAATAAATTATTATAYTCTGGATATTTTAAAACAATTATAAAATAATTTTAAATAATTTACTTATATTCCTAATATTAACTAATGATTACACATTCAGCATGAAAAATAAGTAAAATATGTGTGGTAATATATTTTGTTTATATACTTAGTGTAAGAAAGTAGACAGTTTGTAATTATAATTGCCATTATATAGTCAATATTGTAGGTACTAACAAATAGCCAAATAGGTACAAATAAATAAGTAACAATACAATTCTRAATAATTTAAAAATATGTAATAACCAGGATCAGGATTTTATAGAATTTTCACATTCCTAATAAAATTCTTAAGAAATAGTATATTAAGCTTTAAATTTATTTCACGAGTAATAGAAATGAAATAAAAATTTAATTTTGTAAATACGTTTAACCCTCTACGTATCTGTGACACCTACTGACCTATTGGCTATAAAATACTACTTAAACCAATATAAGCCTATGGTATACAACTCTGTGGGTCAGCAAAACCTTACCTATATCGATAAAATAATAATATATCTACCAATCAAAAACAATAAATCACTAAAGTAGGTACTATATTACGTCTCTAATCACACTCCATTATGATCTCTCTTTACCCTTTTTGCAGATGTGGTCGATGTCGATTTGTAATGTGTTTCAACTTTTATCCACATATGTGGATAAAAGTTGAAACACATTACAAAATATTTCATAATCACTTTTTAAACCTCAGAAACTCACTCGTGCACGATATATCTTCCTTATCCATCCCTGGAAATCCTCCCAAACGGCTCAAGCGTAATATTGGCGTAGAAATCTCCTGATAAGCTAACAAATAGGTCTTCGCCTGATTGCGGTCTAAAGTATCTATTTTACGATTTCACCTATCCCGATTGCGGTTCGTACATAGTACTCATAGTAGGCAAGAAAAACTATTTTCAGTGGTTTTCAAAACTATATGGATATTTAAATTGTGTCTGATACGTATTTTGATATAAATATAATATTCAAACATTTTGTGATTATTTAGAAGATTGTTATAGGTATATGATTCATTATCATTGATAATGATTATTATTTTTCACCTGAAATATGGGCTACTTCTAATTTCAGTATGTTCTTCACAAGTACAACGAATGCGTGTGAAAGTTTTCATTTGAAATTAAATTCGTTATTTTAATACTCAGCATCTAAGAATATTTCAATTTTTGGAAATTTTTAAAGAATGCCAAACAGATGCACAAATAAAAATGAAATTGTAGCGCGGTCGTACGCTCAACTGCGAAAACGCTATAATACTTAGTGTACGTATGGGTTGGTGTTGCTAGCTCCTGAATGGGTAACCACTCAGGTTTTTAGTAACGAACCCTAGCCACACATAGATTATGTGTTTGAAACACAACTGTTACCCACTACAAAAATATAATAGCCTTAAATGCTGGGCTTCTAATCAATAATAATAATAAAAAAAAAATTGTATCGATCGTTTGTACCTAGCTAATCTTAGGAAAACAAGCAAAAAAATGATTAAAAATCAAATTACACGAAATCAAATTCAACAATTAAAAAACATGGAAATATCTAATTTTGATTTTGTAAAAAATAATAAATTATAAAAATCTACCTTCAACATTACGATTTAACACTACAATTATTTTATTATTTATTAACATATTAATTTGATTTTGGTCCTTTCTTTGTTGTAAATATTTAATTGACTATTTGATCATTTATAATATGTAAATATTATTTTTAATGCGTTTTCACGAAATTACATGTTTATGGAATTTAATATTATTAATTTTATGCTAATTTGCAAACCAATGTGTATTGTGTCGGAACGCAATCGGGATACGTACTTATGTACTTATATTTGGGTTAAAATACGTGTAATATATGACATCCGAATCCGGGTTACAATCATGTATCTACGAACAAATAATTTATGACCTTYCAAACCTCGATGTATCCATGACACTCCATTCAYGCCACATCTGATGTTATAAGTCCATATATAGTAATGTTCATCGTGTATGAGTGTTACCACTGGATAGATACTCTTCTCAAGTCTCATGCCTTGTTTACATAAATTTTATTTTCTCTTCTCCTCTTTTTCCAAAAATGATAATAGACACATTTTTTTAAGTGTTTTCATAATATTTTAAATTTTAGTTTTAGATTCTGAACGAAGTGATGAATGTATTGATTTTACAATGATGTGTGTTTTTTTGTTTTTGTGTCTGTGTACAGCATAACTAGTCGAAATAATGCTTCGATTTCAAACTCTGGGGGTGGTTTCCGATGTAAAATT